GTCATCGTCGCATCAATACACGTTGCCATACAAGCCAATCATACAACAACATCAACAGCATCAACAACAACAATTATCGACTTGCACCGCCAGTTTGAATACATCGTCTGTCGCAGCAATTGGACTGAATCAACTGACACCATCATCCGACAACGCATCAGATGCAACATTAACCGACGCCGAATCAACCATTTTGGCCCGGAAAAATCCAGCTTCATTGATTCATAACGGTATGTAACTTGATTCTTCTTGATCTCATAAATTTATATGCGAATTGCTGAACCACACACTTGAACTCATTCAAAATCTCATCTCTCACAATTCCATTCGGGCTGAGTTTTGTGTGAATTGTGTAAATAATAAATTGAAAATATACTGTGGTTCAATTCATAATCGATAAACATGTAATTAGTGCTTGAGTTTGTGAAATTGATTTGCTTTCAAAACGAAAAGTTATACCGACGCACGCAAAGCTCTCAACTGAACTCTGCTCAATGGCAAGCTTTTTTTTTCTTCTCACCAATACACTTTACTTTTTATTACAAATCGAAATGGATTCAATGCAACCGCTCTTTTTCATCAATTCCAATGAAAAAAAAAACATTTCATTCGATGGGACTTCTCCTACGTTTTTTTCGCCTCTTTTTTTCCTGCTGAATACCAAAGTACCATTTTTAGAAAGTAAAACATTACTGGGGAATACAGTGAATGGGACAGAGAAATTATCGATGAGTGTTACGTTGAACCGTAAACGGCAAGTAATTCGATATATGTGAATATTTGTGTCACTTTAAGTATCACTTAATGTCTACAACAGACTGTTTAATAATAAAAGTGGCGTCAATTCACACAGACAGAAATAGCACCTACTCTATTTCCGTTCAATAAGCACTGACAATTTTGCAATTTGCATCGAAACTCTGGAACTGAATTAACCTACTTCGTTTTTTTTTATTCACTTTCTCCATTTGTCTGTACATTGCAGTTGAACACCAATTTGAATGTATGCTATAACCGATATATTTTCTATGCTAACATTTTAATCAGATTGATTTCGAAAGAAAACCAACTGATTGGTAATCAAAAATGGAAAATCGAAATTGAAAATTAATTTAAGTGAAAATGACCATGATGAAATTCGAACATATATTTATTGGAATTGGACATTTTTGGACACTTTCGTCGCGATAACATTCTTTCAATTGAACGATATGGTAGCGTTTTCGAAAATGATGTTCGGGAGAAATGGCATAACAGAGCACAGAGAATTGGTAGATAGGAGCTTGTGTATATGTTTGAATTGTCATGTTGTACTTATGTGTGTATTGTTTGATTTAACGAAAACAAGTGAAAATATAAAGACTTGATTTATGTGAAAGATTGGTGCTTAACGCATGAATAGCCCGAAATCCAGCCATGAAGCATGAAACATATCTCAAACTAGAATCCTTTGAGTACAAAAGTGGCTTAGTTGTATTTTCTCATTTTCATTGCATCGACGAAAACGTAAAATCCACTTGAGAGATTAAACCTGAAAATACCTGTGTATACAACGGGCATGCAGTAGTTACATGAAAGACTAGAGCTAAATTGAGAGACAGAGAGAGAGGACGGGGGGAGAGAGAGAAAGGTAGAGAAAACAGCACAGACGAGAAAAATAGAGTCGAAGATAGACGAAGTCACATATATAGATAACCAAATTGACTAGCGACCCGTGTGTGGAAATGCAATGTGCATTTAGTGCTTCGATGCATTCACCGAAGCCAAAATGAACATTGCATCTTAAGTGCTGTACATGCAAATCTCGGGCTATAAATTAGTATAAGAGGTCACCCGAAAATTAAATATTGGATATGTAGTAGACGTATTTTTGGGATGTTGTTCAATGCACAGAAAGAGAGAGAGAGAGTGAAATCATCTATCTTGAATGATACAATTCCATTCAATTTATTGCAGTTTATTTGAAGCGATTTTATTTCGGACACTTTAATAGCCAATTGGTATATTCCAATGCACGCGAGCATCCAATTAAACAAAAACAATCGGCTTTATTGTTGTTTTAAAGTAATCTTTGAGATCATGATGTGAATCGTGACGCACATACATTTGCATTGCCACATGCTTTGGTATATGCACACACACACACATGTACACACTTACAACTGAATGGCCATTGAAATAATTTTACCATTTTCGGTAAATTTTTGAACTGAACAATGGATTTTGACTGAGCAAAGATGACATTGATTTTATGTTATTAAAATTGTGCTCAAGATGGAATGATTTACCTTTTTATTTGAAGAATTGACCGTAATTTCCATCATAAATGAAAACAATGTCGTTGAGAACAGATTCTTATTGTAAGGAATAAAGTTGATGCCATTGTCAACGATTTGCATTTGTTTTGTATCCAATTGAAGGCGGTACAATATTTGGTTTGTCACTGACTCGGAAGGCCAAACAGTTAAATGCCAAAGTTTATTTATTGTATTTCACAACACTGAAAATATCTAAAGCTTTATCATAGTCATGATGCTGTTGGGCAACATTCTTGGCCAGCATGTTTTTAAAAGCGATACATGTACGTATACCATTTGCTTACTTCACTAAGTATTATAGTATTTAAATTCGTTTTAAAGCTACACATAAATTACGTGCAAAAAGCTTAAGACTAATTTAATGGCAATTCTTGTCGGTTTCAGCCAGTGTTCTTTTGTTTCAGCTTGTTCGTTATTTTGTCCGTCTCCAAAATGGGCTCTTGCATTAAACTACTTGCATATACTTGAAATTGTGTGCATGTATTGCCGAAAGTCATTTAAACGACTTAACAATATGAAAAATGTTTAAGAATCTCATGGAAACTATTGCAATTTAAAATGTGAACCGGATATACAATTTCTCACTTGGTCGACCCGTTATTACTTGATGTGATACGTGCCTTTTGCCCATATCTTATTTTATTCTAAAACACAAATGCGACCCGATGATAGTTTTTATCATAAACTCCTCATTAAATACATATATACATGTTATATGCGTATATAACATTTTCGATGGAACAAATGAAAAGCACACTTAACATTCATTCACTTGATTTATTTGGCCTGAGATGATGCCGACTTTCTTGTAAACAAACTATGGCCACAATTATTCAAAGTATTTTATACAAATGACTCTCATAATTGTTATTCCTTTTAATGGCTTTATAATGCGATTTTTGAACATTAATGTGTGACATTTGGTGAAACATTCTCGAAACAAAAAAAAAAACACGATATTCAAAATATTGCACATCGGCAGAGACGACAGCGAATAATACAAATAGCGTTTCAAAATATTATCATTCATAATAAATAATATGGAAAATGTGCTGAAATGATGCTCATTGTAGATATTTACATTTTAAACTTCCATTCAGATCAAAGTTGAATAAAACCCATTGAAATTCAAACCGGTTCTTTCTATAATCTTTGTGACAAGAATAACAGGATGTATCAAAATGAAATGGCATTGCCTACTAAAAAAATATAGTAGCATTTCATTCAGATAACAAATAGTCTTCAAGTATAACGTGGCCGATATTATATTAAATTGAAATTGATTGGAAAAAACACTTTGATTATATTTGCCGGAATAATGTCCATACACTTGTGGTTATTTATTTACTGTCTCGGCGTTTCGAAAACATTTTCGTATTTCATCTTCAGGAGAATCTAAACAATATAAAATACAAAAACTTAAATTACAAACAAAATTCCGTACCAATATATTACATCTTGAATAAGTTTAAAGGTTTACCGGTCTGAGAGCCTTTAAAAACATTTAATCACATGGAGATTTACTTTGATCACAATCCAGATTGCTTTTCACTTAAATTAGTGACAATAATGTGTACAATATCGATCTATAGAGATGATAAATTAAGTAGTTATAGCAAATGCTCCGCACCAAGCAAATGTACAATTGTCAAGCTGAGAGAGAGAGGGTTTGTGTGCTAGTGAAAAGTTCGGTGGTGTGTCGATTTGTATAATTGGAGCAAGTGAGAGAATTAGCATTCGATTACGTGCAGCGCGTGTGTGATTGTTGTATTTGTCTCGGCTATTGTAGTGTATGTTATGGGTTTTTGTTGTTTCTTCAACGCTTTGCTATTCTGGTGTGAATTCGTCTTGGTTTGATGAAATATTCAACATGTTCTGAATGTTTTTGTGTGAGTCAGCTAATGCAATGTAGCTAGCTGATATCTGTTGAGTGTCCGTTCTTACGTTGTATATATTTTCACTTAGATGATACAATTGTTTTGTGTTAGACGTTTATGATAGTTCGATTCATTTGTCAATATACTCACATTATTAAAATCTGCGTGTGTGTTTGAGTGCCATATTTCCATAGCACGTCGTTTTTGCGCCCAGTTCATGTGTGAAGATTCTCACTTTTAATGAATTTTGTGTATGCCCAACGATAATTTGTCGAAAGTTTCAATTGTTCTGTCATTTTCGTCTAATTTCCCTTTGCACGGGAGTTTGTTTTTTTTTCAACTATTTTTTAGTACTTTTAAAGCGGTTTAATATTGTTTCAATATTGGATATCTTCAAATAATCTACTGTCAAGCTTCATGGCGCTGTACGTAAATTTACTCGTGCTACATTCGTGAAAAGTGGTCAAAACATGATGAATATTTCATCAAACAAAGACGACAGAATTTACACCAGAATAGCAAAGCGTTGAAGAAATAACAAAAACTCATAACATACACACAATAGCCGAAACAAATACAACAATCACACACGCGCTGCACGTAATCGAATGCTAATTCTCTCACTTGCTCCAATTATACAAATCGACACACCACCGAACTTTTCACTAACACACGAACCCTCTCTCTCTCTCTCTCTCTCTCTCTCTCTCTCTCTCTCTTCTTGACATTTTGACAATTGTTCAATTGCTTGGTGTGGAGCATAAACGTTTTGCGATCATCAAATCGCGTTTGCTGTAATTTTCATTTAACTACTTAATTTATCATCTCTATAGATCGATATTATACACATTATTGTCACTAATTTAAGCGAAAAGCAATCTGGATTGTGATCAAAGTAAATCTCCACAAGATTAAATGTTTTTTAAAGCTATTTTAAAGGCTCTCAGAACGGTAAACCTTTAAACTTATTCAAGGCGTAATATATTGGTACGAAATTTTGTTTGTAATTTAATTTTTTGTATTTTATATTGTTTAGAAGTTGAAATACGAAAATGTATTCGAAACGTCGAGACAGTAAATAAATAACCACAAGTGTATGGGCATTAGTCCGGCGAAAATGAATATAATCTACTTTTTTTTCTAATCAATTTCAATGAAACAATATTTCAAAAAAATGGGGCTTTTATTGTTTCTAATTCCTTATGAAAAGCATTTATCTGATGTTTTTATTAACGAGTGTGTCATCATCGGCATTTTGAAGATCATAAATACAATAAATCAGCCAATGGATGTGGAGCAGCTGTTTATTTGACCGCGAGAATCTCATCAAACTAAATAAATAACTTCTGTCATGGTGAAGAAGGAGTGACGAAAATAATTGGAACATAATTTTTCCGTGTGTTGTGAATGAATAACATTTAATAATTTCAAGGTTTGAAAAATAAATATAATTGATTTTTTAAAATATGTGAACAAAATGACAATACACCATTTGGATACCATACTTTTCTACATAAATATTTTTTCTATATAAACAGCGCTTTCCACCCAGATTTTGCATGAATAATAAGTAGACGTGGTTTTAATCACCCTTTGTGGAGTATGTCCGGACGATTCAATTAATTTATTATTGCACAATATCAATGGAAATCGAACGAAAATTGCAACGTGTGCTATGTGTTTTTTAAGTTTCTAATCATTCAGTTGATTTCAGTTATTCCTCGGATACACTCGCTTTTAACAAACAAGCATTGCCATGATTAAAGAAATAAAAAAATCATGGAAATACAAAACACCTCTACAAAAATTGACTACCTTGTACAATTATGTTCGCGTATCTGGAGATTATTTGCATCTCGGTGTGCTTAGCGATCAAAAACTCGGACCTATTGGATATATACCGTGCATGAGTGGAACTGTACACTACTTTTTACTGTTTTATACCGTGTACTTTCACATAAGTCGTGGCCGTTTTGAGGAGTGTGTGCCAAGTTTTTGCATTTTTGGAATTATGAATGCAGTAATGTTATTATTCAATACTATTTTAAAACCGAAATGTTCAAAAGTCAAATTAAGTGATTTTTTTCTCTTTTTGGAAGGCATATACAAGTTATATGATATTTTGGGGGGAAAGCATGTACGTAACGTATAGATTGCTTAATACTTCCAGAAGACACATTTACCGTGACAATCGGGAGTCAACAAAGTACAATCAAATTTGTGAAGAAAGCATTAGCTATTCTATTAAAGCGTACGGCATAAGGATGTTGGTGATAATGATTTCATTTGTTGGAGCAAGTGCTGGACCATTCTATCGATATCTTGACGATGGAATATTGGTTACGCTTTATTCACTGAAATTGCCATACTTTCACGATGATTTACACACGGAATTTATGATAAATACATTTTGGCAATTTTTTATCAGCATATATGGCGGTTTGGCACTCTTTCTCATAGAAGGTTTACTCACTTTGATCGATGACACCGTTACCGTTTCATCGAATTTGTGTCTAATGGAATTCGAAGAACTATCAGATTGTCTCGAAAATGAATCGGTAACCATTCATGAATCACGTGAAAAACTAAAGAATGTCTTCATGAAAATTGCATACAGTGATGAGTAAGATCATCTCACTTTTATTCTCAGCAAATCGTAGTGAATGTTCTCAAACGATTATTATTATTTTTTAAACATCTTCATACAAAATTAGATACATCAAATCTATTGGAAATATTTTGTATTGGAGACAATTTTTGTCTCCACCGACGTTTTCTCTTTCAATAGCAATATCAATTTATTCCCAAAAAATGGTATGTGAAATGTTACTTTTGATAGGACTTTTTCTGCAGAAAATATATGTTGGTTGTTTTGATTAGATGAACTATCCGGCTGGATATGGATTGGCGGTCGTTTCTTACATTCAAATGGCTGTCATGTGTGTTATGGGACAGAATATTTCGGATCGAGTATGTGAGAAACGAATGCATGTTGTTGGACACAATAATTTTATCAAAATATATAATTTTGTTCTGCTTTTTGAATGGAATAGAATGATCGTTTAGTCACAGCAATTTACGACTTTAAATGGTATCTTTTATCAAAAGACGATCAAAAGGATGTACTACATATGCTTCTCCGACTTCAGAATGAGGTCCCTTTAACAATCGGACCATTTGAGGAATTAAATTTTGAAACTTTAAAAAATGTAAGATTTTTACTCCAGTTCGGTATCAATTTTAAATTTTTATTTGAATTTTCAGCTTAGCCAAAAGGTCTACTCATTTTTGATGTTTTTGATCAACTTTAGCCAATAGAGAAACCACTGTTGCTTAAAAATAAAATAAAGTCTTTATGTTGCTTTCAATTTTAATTCGCCTTCTGGTGAAAATTGAATTTAATCAATTATTTAATTATTTTAATTGTACGTATGACTATACGTGGTTACACACTAGTCACAGAGTTAATTTCTTTAATGTTTTTCAAAAAAAAAAAAAAAAAAAAAAATCACAGTTATGTACTGCACCTATAATAATGCACTTATGCAATTCCCTTATAAAAAGCAAAAAAAAAAATGTATTATGAACAGATAAAAATTGCATAAAAGCAGAGGTTTTATTTGAATAAAGTAGAGACCTCATGAGGGTCGGGGGTCATAGCTTCTCAAGGTATGATTTTCTCCTCATTAAAACATATAACCTTCTTGCTTATTCCTTAAATTCGGGCGAAAAAGTGAATAACTCAAGTTCAGTATCCATTGACATGTAGTTTTGATCGCCCTTGGCTGCCCCAGTTTGGAGGACGGGAGTCGAAATAATATAAAAAATTCATGGACAATGTCGAAAAATCATCAAAAATAAGGCCCTAGCTGACGATGCCAAAGGAGCGAGTACGAAGTTTCCCCCTTTGCTAAGCGAAATTAATCCGATATACGGCACTGATGTAAATGTCACTCTATGTCATTCCACAATGATACATTTTTTGGCTTGACAATATATAAGCTCTTCATTCAACATGCATAATTTTTGAACGGTCGAGTAAAAAAAAGAAACATATCATAAAATATTCTTCTTACGTTTATAATAAAAATTTTCTATATTTTAAATTTGTTTGTTTAAGAATAACAATAATTTCAATTTTTTTTTCATAGATTGAACAAGAATCTAATGTAAAAAGTAATACCAATGCGACACCCACCGTTAAAATAGAAAAGGAAACTTATTTGGAATTGTAACATTTTGGTCCGCCATAACAGCATCTTCATTTTGCTTCTCTGTGATTGGTCAAGTAAAACGAAGACGCTGTCATGGCGGACCAAAATGCTACAATGGAGACCAACTAAGTTTCTTTTTGCATTTTTACGGTAGGTGTCGCATTGTCATTACTATTTACATTGGATTCTTATTTAATCGATGAAACATTTTTTGTTGAAATTATTGTAAATTATAAACAAATAAATTTTTTTATAAAAAAAAAATTTTAATAAATTTTTTAATGAAAAATGTTAGAAAAATATTTTATGACATGTTTTTTTCAACGATTCAATAATTATGAATGTGTATGCATTTTAAATGAAGAGCTTATATATTGTCAAGCCAAAAAAGTATTATTGTGAAATGACAGAGTGACATTTACATCAGCGCCGTATATCGAATTAATTTCGCTTGGCATAGGGGGAAATATTTTGACAGATAGTACTCGATCCTTTGCTGTCATCATAAATCCAGATCCACCCAAACTAGCAGTCGTTGATTACAATGATACGTCGATTGTTATGTCTCCTTCACTCGTTTTTCACCTCGACAGAAGTATTTTATTTGAAAAAAAGATTCTCAGACGTCTGCTAATATTCAAAAAACACATATTAGTTATAATTCCTATTGAATCGCAACAAACAATAAATACCAAATGGTTATTATTATTACTATGCAAATTGATTTAAATGTTAACATATTTCTGTAAATTGTTTTGAATTGCTGTCTGCAATGCAACAACATTTTTGCTTCTCTGCAAATATTTTTTCAACATTTATTCTTTGGCTGTTAAAATCGTTTTATTTTTGTGTCGGTACTCATCTGAAAAGTAATTGTCTAACCTTAATACGAATTAATCGAAATTCAGTGGTCTCATTGTTCCCATTTGATATCGAATGGAGAATGGCAAAAAGTATTTCATAAAATAGCGGCCCCAACGAAAAAAAACGATGCTAACCAGCAAAGTAATGAAAACATTTAATTGAATTAAATTGAAATTTAAATTTTTGGAAAATACTTCTTGGCTCGTTTGGTGTGTATGTATGTGTGTGTGTGTGTGTGTGTGAGAGAGAGAGATAGATAGAGAGAGAGAGTGAGAGATGGAGGTGGGGAATGGCACCAACGAATGGAATAATAATAATATGATGCGAAAAATGGTTGGCAAAAGAGAATGAATTTTGTAGTGGCAAAAAATGTGAATGGAAAACAGTGATACAGAAATATGAATCAGATCTCTCGTTTTTTTTTCATCTTGGTTTTTCTCGCATAGTAGCTGCAAGCACCAACGACAAATTAGTTGTAGTGAGTTCGAAAATGAATTTAGAGTGTTGGAACAGCGACGAAACCAGGAGGTGCATATTTGTGTTCATGTGCAATAGTTTGTAAAAATTGTGCATTTTTCACCGTAGAATGTGCTAACAAGATTGAAAGTTGTTGTTGTGTGTCTTTTGGTTTGTTCGAGACAAATAATTGTTGGAAATTTCATGTTGAAAGTGCGATCCACTCAAAATCATTGAAAATGCACAACGAAAAAAAAAATCGCATGGCAATTTTCTCACACACACACATAGGACACATATACATCTATAGAGCCGTAAAGATATATATATATATAGAGCAGCGTGTCGGCAAACCCACTATGTGTAATGGTTATGATGGCGATGGTGGAATTGGTTCTCTGGTGTTGACAATGAGTAGCAAAATAATTGGAAACGCCGAGGACACATACAAACTAACGCACACGCCAAAGCGAGCACACCAACACAACAGAGTGAGTGAGTGAGAGAGAGAGAGAGAGAGAGAGAGAGAGAGATAAATAGAGGAGAGAGAACAAAAAAGAACTACACACAAATAAATTCCATTTCATTAATTTGAAATATCCGAAGGGCACACAAAGTTATTTTCCCAAACTTAATGATTATGGTGTGCCGAGTTTATTATAAACAAGCATAACAATGTCTACTAGCTTTGTGTTTGGTTCGTTTCATTTGTTTTTTTTTTTCGCGCGCGCACTATAGCACACAGCATTTTGCTATTGCCTCATACATACATCCCACATTCAAACTGACTTACTGTGTATATATGTGCATGCAATGCATATATGTTGTCTACACACTGCATATTCGTTCATTTGGAGAAACTTTAGCGATGGCATGTTTTCGACCGAAATTACCATTTTGCAAGCATCCCGATATGATTTTCCACAAACCAGATTGAGATGCACCATTTTCTCTTTAACTATTTAAATCATGCTACGGATCGAAGTTCCATGGATTTAAAGATAAATTTCCATTTTGCCGATGCACAATACGATATCGAAAACTTTTTTTCTGCTTCGGATGCTTTCTCATTTGTTTATGCATTCGTTCAATAATTCAGTACATGGGGTTTTTTGTATACATTTTCTATTGTTCGGTCTTATTTTATTCAAAAAAATTTTATGGTTTTTTTTAACTTATTCCAATTTGACCGATTGGCGTAAAGTAATCATGTAAATAATAGCACATTGATGGCTTTCATTGAGATCGAAATTGTCATTTGAGTTATTTTACTATTTTACAATCGATTTCGATTCTTATTACTTTGAAACAATCCACGGATTTCTTTCTTTTTTCTTTCTCTCTCTTTCTTCATGGAGAATTGCGTTGATTCTTTAAAAGTTAATTTTTTTATTATTCACACAACGGTGGAGTTTTATTATGAAAAAACTCAAAATCGTTCTACTTGAAATACCAACATGATGCAACAAAACTAAACATTCTTCGTCACAAAGTTTACAAATTTTGCATAGAATTTCTGAATAAAGTATTGTAAACGATTCTATAATCCAAAAATGTATTGATTGTCAATAAAAAAAGTTGCGCATTAATTAATTTCATCGAAAGGTACAAAAATCAGTGGTATTTCAATCCGAAATTGACATAACCAAACGCTGACAATTACAAATGAATTGCATAGATCAAAGGGTCGTTATATTGAAAATCTATGTGAATGCACAATGGACATATACAACAATGTAGGCAAGAGAATGGGAGCCAGAACGATAAAGAGGGAAAAAAGTTGGCATTAGTTTACGTTGCTTTAGTGCATTCTCATAAAATTTGTTTATATGCGCGTTTGTTACAATATGTATTTGTTTTTCCGTTTTTCATTCCATCGTTTGTTTTCGGATGGTCAATCTCCCCCTCCCCTCTCTCTTCCTCAAAGTTATGCATGCATCGAGAGAATCAGAGAAAATGCGCGCTTGGTGGCAATTATTTTGGTCTATTTTTGATGCCAAACAAACGAAACAATAACATTCAACATTGTGTTTTTGTGTATGTGTTTTTTGTGTGTGCACCCAATTGCACGATGTTTTTTGTTTTTCATGTGTAGAGTCAGTTCATGACATACTTTCTGACACTCAAATCGTCAAAATAATATATTGGATGATGTTTTTTTGTGTGTGTGTCTCTCTGTATCTGAGCTGATGCTGTTGCCCTCTCGTCGGTTTTTTTGTGCACTTCGTGCTCGGTTGGGTTTTCATTTTGGTTTTATGTGATTTTGGTATTTTTGTTGTTGTTGCAATCTACAGCAATTACATATACTTCGGATTGTATTTCTTCTTTTTTACCGCCACTACTCTTGCACACTTGCCGATTCGTTTGCGTATACCATTTTTTGTTCTCTCTGTGTGTGTTCCCTTGGTTGTTTGCTTCCTTTTTTTTGTTGCGTCAATCTACAGAGCGCAACCTAAACGCACTAAATCCAATCTGACGAAATTCTCTGACGATGCTTGTTAGACTCCAAAAGAAAACAACAACAAAAAAAAAAAAATACATCGCCTCGTGAAACGTACTTTGACAAAGAGCATACAATGTATATGTGCAAAAGGATAAAAATAAATAAACAGCAGCCACGATGTTTTTAATGTGATTGGATTTCTAAAAGGATTAAAAAGATAATTATCAACACTTTTTCGCGTCGTTATTATTTGTTATTGCTTTCGAGTGTGATTTATTTGTGTTTCCCCTGCTCTTTGGTTTCTTCGTGTGTGTTTTTTTACTCTGTTAGTCGTCAGCATAGCGCAAATGAATGAA